AAACTATAATTTTATTTAGACATGGTAGATGTCCTAGAAAAAACTGGTAGTAACTCAATGTAGATACACATAGTCGATGGAGTTACTTGCTAATAACTGGCAATGAGACATACTTGCTTCAAATGATGCCTTTAAAGTTTGAAAAGGTTAGTTTATTATGCTCGTCTTAAATGGATAGTTTTTTTATTTTAATTATAAATCAGTGTCTGCTTTAATATAATTATCATAAAAACTAGGCATCTGAAAACATTCCTGCAATTTAATATCATGATAGTGACTTACTCTTGTCTTTTTCATGTTTAGATTTTTTCTAATTCAAATGTCGACTTTTTGTTACATGAAAAAATTATACTTATTTCAACCCCTCGACTATATTGGTAAGTAGAGCATTAGTCAGAAGTTGTATTTAAGCTTACTGTTTATTAAGTTTTACTTTTTTCAAGAAAAGCACATAATATATATGACTTTATTTTTATATAGCTTTTTAAAAGTAGTTACATAACTTTTCAAATTAAACAATGTTTTTGCTGTTTTTATCTGTTAAATTATGTTTTAATATTAAAATGAATTTTTCATTTATTCAATGGAGATACACTTAGTATGTGGAGTTACTTGTCAATAGCTGGCGATGAAACTTTTAAACGTAACGTCTTTAAGGGCTGAGAAGGTTAGTTTGTTTCGTTATAATAGCTCTAAACTGAAATGTTTCAATATTTTGATTGGATATTGTTGTCTGCTTTTAGGTAAAAATTAGAAGTCTGCAGACTGCAACGTAAATCGATTTCAACACGTTATGGCTTCTCGAATATATTTAGTTTCCGATTGAAATGAGAATAAACTGAACTTATATATAAAGTGTTTACAATTAACTTTTTAAACTAGAAATACTCCAAAGGAGGTTCTCCAAACGCAAGTTAAGCAAAGTCGATAGATGTTAATATCTTTTATATTTTGTTTTAGATATAAGAAAAAATTTTTGTGACTTTAATATTTATGTTATAATTGTAAATTGCAATCTTAAAAGGATTTTATTATTACTTCAGATTGTTCTTTTTGTTCATATATTTGTTCACCGAGCTTAAGCGTTGCAACGTATGACCTAATGATTTACAGTTATGGTAGTGTTTCTTTATGTTATGAGTATCATTTACTAAATTTGTGTTGATTTATTAAGTATTTAATGGCTATATACCTAAGCACAAAGTTAAAAGGTATTTGATGTGCTTTCCAGGCTTAAGCAGGGTTTGCCATTCTTTTTAGCGTAAAAATTGAGCTAAAAATATTTAAAAATTTCCTTTAAGTGCGTTTGGTTCAAATAAAAAAAAAATAATGATATGCATATTAATGCATTCCAATCTTGATCAAAACATATAAAAGGTCCTATGTTATTCCGCTATCGTTTTTTCATCGGTTTGCCGCTGACGGTCCGTTGTTAAAAAGTTTGCGATTTGCCGCCATCGGACCGCTATCGAGCCGCCTGCAGATTGCTGCTAACGGACCGATGTAAATACGATGTGCAAGCCTACGCGGCAACGCAGCGGGCGGCCGACGTTGGCACGGCATAAGTGCTGACAGCGGTCCGTTGTCGGTCCGACTGCTCAATGTTTGCTGGGTTGCTACTTATAGTTTTTAAAATTTCTTTTATCTACTTCACAATATTTTACCATAAAATTTTCCATAACAACTGCTTAAATAAGACATTAAAATATAAAATATTAAATTATAAAATAACTTCCAAAATTCCAAAATTACCGAAAAATATCTGGAAACTTTTGGGAAAATATCCTGAATTGAAAATTTCCGAAAAGTTTTCATCACTATATATTGGCACGCCGAAACGTTAATAAAACAGCAGAAAAAAATAATCTATAAAAAGTTTTTTAGCTCTAAAGGAGAAAACTTTTTTAGAATAGGTCAAACAAAAATTTGGTATCTTTTCAATATTTTTTAAAACTGTTTTTTTTACAATATTTGTAATATTGTAATAAATGAAATATTTAAAAATTAAACACCAGATATGTATTTTAATATAAGCGATCTATTAAAAATAATTTCGTAAATTATAACGATTTTATTTTACGTTTTAATTAAATATACTTAATAACGAGGTCTAAACTCTATCAAAATATCTTAATAAATTATTTTACATTAATAAGAATTATATCCATAAAAAGTAGTTTTTATTTAACAACTTATATATATATATATAAACTTATATATATATATATATATATATATATATATATATATATATATATATATATATATATATATATATATATATATATATATATATATATATATAATTTGTATTAGTAATTGCTGTAAATGGTATGAGCCAGTGAGTATGGTATTTACACACTATGACAGCCGATTTGTTTAACTGCTACTCATCCAGTAATCAAGACCTGATTTAAAACTGTTGACTGATTGTGCGTTAACCAATTCGCTTAGGAAGCTATTCCATAAATTAGCTGATCTATTAAACAAAACGTTTTCACGACATGCTTGCTTAGTGATTTCTTTGACATATTTAAAAAGGTGACCTCTTGTTTGAGTTTGCTAAAAACTTTTTTTTTTTATTGTTTCTAAATTGCTCAAACCGTTAATGATCTTAAAAAGTTGAATCAAGTCTTTTTTTCGTTATCTTTTTGTTAAGTCGAGTGCTTTTAGATAATTTTTTAAAATTTTCTTGAGTGATGGTCAAGTTGCACGTTGTTGAACTCTTTCTAATTAATTAAATATAATTAAATTTCTAAATAATATTTCACCCTTTCGAGTTGGTAACCAAACTAGTACCGCAAGCTCTAACAATGGATGCTCAAAAGAAACGTAAAGTAACCTCAAGAGCCTAATATCTAAATGAACAAAGTATTTTATAATCCAACCCGGCATTTAATTACATAATTTTTTTTTCAGATTGCTTGATAAGATTACTCCAAGATCACTTTCGTTACGTTTAACTTTTGTCTATTGATTTAAAGGGGTAATCCTTTTTTATTCCATTCAAAGTGCATGACGATACATTTAGAAATATTAAATTTCATAAGCCAGTCGTGAGTTCACTTAAAAGCTAAATCGAGATCTGATTGATCGATATCTGATTACAAAGAAAGAGTTGGTGCCATCTGCATAAGGTTTGGTTACGTTTTTTTTTAGAGTTTCAGGCTAATCGTTTTAGCACAAACAAGAGTGGTCCAAGTACCAACCCCTGTGGCACACCACTGCTAATTTATGCCCGAGAGAATACACTTTTGCCCATCACAACTTTTTTTTTCTTTCTTTTAAAAAAACCTTAATCCATTGAGTTGTGAGACCAAAAATTCCATGAACTGTTAGTTTAAGCAACAACTTATTATGTTGCACTGTTTCAAACGTTTTTTTGATTTTTCTAGCATCAACATGTTTATCATTCCTGAGGTGGTTGAAATAAAATCAAGTGTTTCAAATGAATTGTTGAGCTATTAGTTTGAACTTATACAAAAAACTATTAGTTTAAACTTATACAGAAAATTTCACATCTAATTATCTATTTATTATTTTACATCCTATTGAAGTGAATGATACCGGTCGGTAATTTCCGGCTATGGTTTTTGCGCCTTTTTTTGTACAGAGGATTGATACTTTGTGATCTTTGCATCTGGCAATAGCACTGGCAGTTGTATTGGAAATTGTACTGGCGTTCAAACGACTCTTTGAAAATGTATGTAGTTAGGATGGCTAGTGAACTGTTCTTAAAAATAGCTGAGTGTAATTACCAACACCACTTGATTTATTTCCTTCCAAGAAAAAAAAAAAGTTTTCATGTATTCATATCTTAAATCTTATATCTTAAATTTTGTTTGTTTCTAATAAGAAACTTTAGGCCTGCTTCTAATAAGAAATTTTAGGCCTGCATTTACCCATCTTGGTCATATTTTTTACAGAGTTTAACGTGTTTTTAGTTGGAGTGAAATGATTACATGCGTAAAAAATCAATTCATCAAACATTTCTTGTACATTTTTATTACTGAATCATTGTATCCAGCCAGTATTTGAAATTAGATCATATATGAGTTTAAAATTGGAATTAGTATACATAAATCTTTTCTTGCTTTTATTGTAACAAATTGCTTCATCAAACAAAATAAAACTGAAACATATTATAAATGACCTTTGTTTATATTTCCCAAAACAAATTTATATTTGTTTTGGGAAACATATAAATAAAGAAGACAAAGTAGACAACTTTTTTATAATCTGGGGCTATGAAAAAGAGGGGCGCAAGAAAACTGTCATTTAGTAATAAAACTTTTCAACATTCTGTTATAATACCTACATCTTATACATAAAGCAATGTAGGATTGTTTAAGAGTTCCGTAAATGTACGTAATTTTACGTCAGGTTTTTGTGGTAATTTATTATTTAAAAAATGTTTTTTAAAAAAACATTTTTGAATAACATTTTTCAAATAATAAATTTAAAAAATGTTATTTAAAAAATGCCTTTTTAAAACATTATAGCAAACTCAAGATTTCCGAAGTAACAGTAGATGCAGAGCCAACAGAAAAATAATTATTAGCAGTAGTGAGAAGATCAGCAAGAGATGAACTAGTAAAAGTACAGTCAAAATCACTTGAAATTGAAGTAGTGTCTATAATGGAGTGTTAATGGAACAAAGACTGCTTGAGTCAAAAGAAAAATACGAAAAAAGTAACGTCAACGAACAATATTGGGGTCGTTTATTTATTATCGTAATTGATTATAAAGCAGAGGTGAATTATGAGCATATAATAAAAAAGTACTTTAATTTTGAAGATAAAATAAAATAAAATAAATTAAAAAAAACACTTTATATTTAAAAGTAATCTAGTTAGGAGCCATCCATAAAGTACGTACGTTCAGAGGGGGAAGGGGAATCTTCAAACTTTTTTTTTTCTTTTTGCCGCATGCTTTCTTCATGAACAGACGTGTTTTTGCAGCGTAAAAATTTAAAGAAAAAACTGTATAAATTTTAAATCTTTAGTATATTTTATTTATTTTTCGTTGAGAAAATAATTCTTTTTTAATGTAATATGGCTGTTACATTATCAGAAATAGCAAAATTGTTTGAAGGCAATAAAAAAGAATTCGAATTGATGTTAAAACAATAGGAAAAAGTTTTTATCGACATTAAAACTTTAAAGTATTTAATGGCAGATTAGAAAAAGTTGAAAAAGGTATAGAAGAATTGAAGCATAGTTTAAATTTTCATGAAGAACTAATCGATGAAAAAGTTATGAAAGCAAATGTTTTCAGTAAAGAAGACAATTCAGAAATTACACGCATACAAAAAAAGTTAAGGGAGATAGAAGATCGATCGAGACGTAATAATTTAAGAGTGGATGGAATTAATGAAAAAGAAGGTGAAAGCTGGGAGGAAAGCGAACTTAAGGTAAAAAAAGTTTTTGAAGAATTACTATCTGTTAAAAATGTCCAAATTGAACGGGCTGGTAAATTTGCATACATATCTTATGATAAATTGATTATTCGCGATTGGGTTGCAAAGAAAAGCAAAAATTCATCTTCATAATATTTTTCATTAATTAACGGAGTTTTTTTTTTACTATTACTTATTTTAAATTAAACTGTTTTTATAATGGAGGAAAATTTCGTAATTAAATTTTCGGATCAAAATGACATTCTCGGTGATTACGTTAGATAGTAAATATTACTCCGTTGCTGAATGTTCGCAACATCTTTAACAAATTAAAAGCACTTTTTCAATTTTAAATATCAATATTCGAAGTTTGAATAAAAACATTGAAAATTTGAAAATATTATTAAACGAACTTTAACACCATTTAAAAATTATATGTCTGACGGAAACTTGGTGTAAAAGTGGTGAAATAAATTATGAATTTGATCTAGTTAATTACGCATCAATTCACCAACCACGTGAAATTAATGCAGGTGGGGGCGTTAGTATTTTTATCCACGATTCACTTAATTATATTTTACGTAACGACCCCTGTGTTAATGAAACAGATTGTGAATCATTATGCATTGAATTAGTAAATAAAAAAACTGAAAAAAACATAAATATAAATAATATTTATAGACCACCATCTGGTAACATTAAAAAGTTTAAAACTCATCTTAAAACATTTCTGAACAAAATCAAAAATTCCAAGAAAATTATTTATTTGGTCGGGGATTTTAATATCAACCTAATCAATTATGCTTCTAATAATAATGCTAAGAATTTTACAAATACTCTTTTAAAAAATAACTTTATTCCAACAATAAACAAATCAACTAGAGTTACAAAAAAGTCTTCTACTCTACTTGATAGCATCATAACTAACAGTTTTTATAATAGTCCTCTTTTCACAGGTATAATTCAGACTGATATATCGGATCATTTTCCAACATTCTTAGCAACCAATAACATTTTAATTAACAATATTGTCACAAAATCCACAATATTTCGGCGACAGATCAATGAAAACTCCTTAAAGCATTTTAAATGCTGTTTAAAAAACAATGTTGATTGGAGTTTAATTTTGCAATCAAGTGATTCTAACAATCCTTATAATTTGTTTCTTGGTCAATTTTGCAAGCAATTTGAAATAGCGTTTCTAGAAAAAGAAATAATTATAAATACCAAATCACTTCAATGTCCCTAGATGTCAATAGGCTTAATAAAATCTTCAAAAAAGAAAGAAAAATCATATATAAAGTATCTTAAAAAAAAATCTTATAAAAATGAAATAACTTATAAAAATTACAAAAATATATGTTCGAAAAAATAAAAAGATACTCAAAAAAGCTTTATTATGCTCAGTTATTAAAAAAACCCAACGGAAACACTAAAAAAGTATGGAATGTAATTAAGGATTTAATTGGAAAAAATAATTACAAAAAAAACACTCTGTCAAAAAATCTTTTAATAAATGGAAAATTAGTTTATGATAAATCTATTATAGCTGAAGAACTAAACAACTACTTTGTTAATATTGGTCCAAAATTGGCTGTTAAAATTCCACCTAACTCCACTCCTTTTGATTCATACTTATAAAAACTTATGACAAACTTATGGATGAAACTAATTTAAAACTTAGCGAGCTGAGAGCTGCATTTAGCAGTCTCAAAAGTAAAAAAAGTGAAGGTTTTGATAAAGTTAGTATTGATATTGTCAAATCAGTATTTGATATTATTAAACTTTCTTTATTTCATGTTTTTGATCTTTTATTTAAGACAGGTTCCTGAAAAACTAAAAATTGACCGTATAACACCTATTTTTAAATCTGGAGATAAGTCAAATATCTTAAACTACAGGCCTATATCCATACTACCTTGCTTTTCAAAATTGCTAGAGAGAGTAATGTATAATAGGTTATATAATTATCTAACTGAGAACAACATGTTGTATTGCAAGCAATTTGGTTTTAAAAAAAAAAATTCCACTGAACATGCAATAGTTGAACTTTCTAATCAAATATCTAACACCTTTGATAATGACTGTTATACATTAGGAGTTTTCATTGATCTGTCAAAAGCTTTTGATACCGTAAATCACAATATTCTAATAAAAAAAACTTGAAAACTACGGAGTGAAAAATAAAAACTTACTTTGGTTCAAAGGGTATCTGACCGAAAGCAATTTTTATATTATGATCAAAATAACACAACCCCATATTCCATAACTTGCAGGGTTCCTCAAGGCTCAATTTTATGACCACTCTTATTTCTATTGTACATAAATGACTTATACCTAGCAACAAATCTTTTAGACCTAATTTTGTTTGTTGATGGTTCCAATCTTTTTTATTCTCACAAAGATATTAAAACACTTTTTAAAATAGTTAATGAACAGTTGTGTAAAGTTAATGAATGGTTCGTAAGTAACAAACTTTCATTAAATTTGGATAAAACAAAATATATACTTTTCCATAAAGTAAATAAATCAGAAAACATTCCTCTAAAATATTAAAAGGGAAACAAACGTAAACTTTTTAGGAGTAAAACTGGATTAAAATTTACTGTGGTATTCACATATAAATAGTATTGAAACAACACTCTCAAAAAATATCGCAATGATTTTTAAGGCTAAACCTTTTTTAAATGTAGCATCCCGGAAAAAATTGTTTTTTGCCTTTATTCACAGTTATTCGTCTTACTGTAATATTGTGTCGGCCAGTACTGGCTATACAAAACTTAAGAAAATCTGCAACAAACAAAACATGCATGCAGAATAGTGTTTGGAGCCTACAGAAATACTTCTTGCGAGCCACTTTTACTTGCACTCGGTGCTTTAAATGTGTATAAACTCAATTTACACCAAGTTTTATTGTTTATGTTTAAATCAAAAATGGGATTGTCCCCAATAATTTTTCAAACCTATTTTAATAAAATTAATCATAAATATTCAACAAAGTTTTCTGATAACAACTTTGTTCTTCTCAAGTATAATTTAAAATTAACCTCCTATTCAATTAAATATCGCGGACCTTATCTGTGGAAAAAATTCCCAGATATTATCAGACTACATTAGAGCAATTTAAAAATGAATCAAAACAATTATTACTATTCAGGGATCTTAATGTACCTGACTTCAAATGTTTATTTTAAAGTTTAATCAAATAAAAACAAGTTTATTTATATCAATGAAATTTAAGTAATGATGTTAAAAATTCATCTTGTGATAATGTTAATTATGAAATTTTATTTTTTTATTTAAAACTTTTTGTTTAAATGATTTTTAAATATTTTAGCGGTTGTTAGCATTTCAACAATTCTTAATTATTTGCTATTTTGAATTTCATAATTTTCTCAGCTATTTTCTGTTTTAATTCTGATCTATATTTTATATATACTGTGTCTTCTTCTTGCTCCTACCATTAATTTTGATATATGTATAAGCAATGTAAACATTCTTTAAAGACGAAATAAATTATACAAAAAAAAAAAAAAAAGAGTACGAAAGCGTATGGGGAAGGGGGAGGGTTCAATTTAAAAGTACGTGTAGTAATAGCAATATATTTCAATAAGTCTTTATAGATTACATGACAAATAAAAAAAACAATTAAATAAATAGATTAAAAAACAAAAGCATTTTTTTTTTTAATTTAGTTATTTATTTTTTTATTTATTTATTTATTTGTTTATTTGTTTATTTATTTTTATTATTTTTGCTTTCATTTAATTACAGTTTACGTTTATGACGTAAATGTACCTAAAAAGTCAAATTTGTAGCTGCTAAAGCACGAATTAATTAAATTAAACGTGCAGCTCATCTTCAGTAAAAGATGCACTGTTTGCAGCTGTAGGAAAAAAATGCTTGTCAATTCTACTTTTGAATGCGTTAATTGACGGAGCCTTTTTGCATAACAACGGTAAATAATTCCTATCACTCACAATACGATTTGTGAAGAAATTATGTCTAGCATTATTGTAAGTGAAATCACGCGTTAGTACGTTGGGTGGTGATCTGCGAAGACGTGGATTATGCCAATTAATAATTTCGAAACCTTTTTCAAGTTTAAACTGTTGGATCAAGTCGTCGCGTCGCCTGTGAGTTTTCAAAGAAGTAAAATTGAGACGCCGACACCTTTCAGCATAAGGTAAACTTGTTAAACCATGAGGAATTTTTGTTGCTTTATGCTGAATTTTTTCTATATCTTTGATGTCGCCCTTTAAGTAAGGACACCATACCTAAACAGCGAATTCCAGGTGCAGCCTAACATAAGTAGTATATAATTTACCCCAAAGCTTAATATCTCTTGATCTAAATGTTTTTTTTAGTAGGCCAAGTATCATATTTGCTCTACGTGTCGTAACCTATATGTGTTGATTCCATTTTAGATTGTTAGATATAAAGATACCCAGGTCTCTTTCAATATCCGTTGCCGCTATAATAAGAGATGTATTACCATCATTCATTGCATATTTATGAATTATATTTCCATGACCAAGGTGCATAACTTTACACTTTGCAACATTTAATTCCATAAGCCATTCTTTTGACCACTCTGAGACAATGTTTAAATCATGTTGAAGAATCAGACAATCAGCATCGTAAAACTCACGTCTTATTTCTTGCAACAGTTTAGTGTCATCAGCATAGATTTTATGAACTGATTTTAAATTATCCGTTAAGTCATTTATGTAGATGATGAATAATGTTGGACCAACTACAGACTCTTGTGGAACTCTGCTTAAAACGGTCCAGTCGCTAGAGTGATTACCTAAAACAGTTCGTTGTTTTCTGCTAGTCAAAAATAACTCAACCCATTTGCCAACATTACCATTGATCCCATATGCTTTCAATTTATGTAGTAGTCTACGATGAGAAACTTTATCAAACGCTTTTGCAAAGTCCAAAAAAACAATATCGACAAAATTTCTTTTGCTTAACTCTTTTGTAATTTAGTCGACACTTTCCAATAAGTT